TTTAAAATTATTTTATTTTACTGAAAATAAAAGTTTCTCAGTGTTACTACTGTGTGATATAGCAGTATGTTATCTAGACTATGCCTAATGCCTTCCTGATGCCACATTCAGGCTACCACATGTATGCTCTGGTTGCCAAGAGTTGAATATTTTTAAAGATAACTGAAAGTGTCAAAAAATATTCCTCAGATCTAGTTCTTGGAGTCACATGTTTATATATGACTTATATGATGGCTCTAATGTCACAAACTTTTCTAATCCGAAGGGAATTTTTATTCTTTCATTTGATTATTTTTATCCTGTATTATAATTTAGTATTTTATTCATCAGAAGATTCATTTTTCCAAAATATCATTCTTTTACTCTCACTCAATATTTTTTACATACCCCATAATCTACTAATCATTTTTCTTGGTGAAGGAGAATCCATTTTATATATTTTCCTTTATTTACAAAGTACAACTTTCAAAAAAACATAGAAACCAAACAATAATTTTCTATTAAAAATCACTGAAAAATTCACAGGTTTTTGATACCTAAATTTGTAATCAAACTTAATTTTATTTGGTCTACTATACCATCTTGGACTTGAAACACAATTTTAGAAGCCACATCATAGAGGAGACTATCATGAGTAATTTTATGTTGACTGTCTTAGGGTTACTACTGCTATGATGAAACACCATAACAAAAAAGCAAGTTGGTAGGAAATGGTTTACTTTTCTCATACTTACACATCAGTCTATCATTGAAGGGAGTTAGGCAGGAACTCATACAAAGTAAAGACCTGGTTGCAAGTGCTGATACAGAAGCCATGGAAGAATTCTGTTTACTGCTTTGCTCTTCATGGCAGGTTCAGCCTGCTTCCTTACAGAACACAAGACCCTCATCTCAGGGATGGTGCTGTCCACAACGGGCTGGTCCTACTCCACCACTACTTAAGAAAATGCCCTCCAGCCAGATCACATGCAAGCATTTTCTCAATTGAGGTTCTCTCTGTTCAGATGTCTCTAGATTGTATCAAGTTGACATAAAATTAGTTGCACAGTAACCAAATTTCACAATGCCTTGTCCGAATCTCTGATAATCTCCAAAGAAAGCTTCCATAAATGGAAGTGGTTGATTTATCATGGTGAAATGTGACTAAAGGATTGTCATTCTAAACTTCACATAGGAAAAATGAACCATCAGTTCCCATACCTGTTTTTCAATAAAATATTTATTAGAATATTTAAATTAGCAAATGTCAGGTTCTGACTTTCAGAAGTTCCAACACAATAGTATGAGTTAATCTGCACAGAACATGAACACAGGGAATTAAGCTTTCAGTTCTGTTTGGGTTTGGATATTTTCTTAACAGATTAGATTACACTCTAACTGTCCTTCATCGGTAATAGTTCCATGGTCCAAGCTAAGTGCAGAACTAAACATCAGAGAGTTGTAATAGAAACACTATGGGTCAAGAAGATCTGTAATAGTGATAGAGAAGTATATTGAGAGTAGGGAAAAGGTCTCAACACCTGTGAGGCTGTGGGGCATGATGTAATTTCAGCAATAAAGTACTCAGTAAAGACTGTGCATCTCAGATGAAACTGGGTGGCACCTAACAGGACCCTGATTTTGAGAAAGATAATGAATAGCAGCACTTTCTTTTATAATGCCCTGACAGGGTGGCTCTATAGCAACAGGCATATCTAATGAGTACCTTTTCCATTATTCCTCTAATCTGGTGATTTTCTGTGGATTCAAACAGATTTTCCACATGTTGTATTCTTGAATTTGTTATGCATATATAAACATGTGGAACATTTTGTCTGAATTATTTTTATGACTATGATTGCAGAGAGCATGCAGTTTGTCAAGCACAACATGCATGTAGTTGGTTAAACTATTCATTCACATAAGCAATTAGTGAAAGCTTTGATATAATAATAACTTTTCAATAAAAAAAAACAGTCGCATTATGTCTTAGTCTTTGTTCCATTGCTGGGAATGATGCTACAACTAAGCCACTCTTCTAAAAGAAAGAATTGGGTGCCTATTTAGAGCTTCAAAGGTGAATTCCATGATCATTATACAGAAAGGCATGGCAACACAGAGACAAACATGGTGCTAGAGAAGTGACTGAGAGGTCTACAGCCATATCTACAGACTTGAGGGAAAGAGACTGGGCCTGGCAGGGGCTTTAGAACAGTCGAAGCTCATCTACAAGTGACACACTCCATACAACAAGTCCACACCTCCTTTTCCTTCTAATCCTATCAAAGAGTTCCTTCCACTCTCTGGTGACTATTTGTTCAAATTTAGGAGTCTATGGGGGCCATTATTTAAAACCCTGCATTCCATTCCCTGATCCCCATAGGCTTGTACCCATATGAAAAAAATCATTAATAAAATCATTAATAAACAAAACTGAATTCAGATCAACTTCAAAAGTCCCCATAGTCTATCACAGTATCACATGTAGGCAGAGTTTTCCTGTCCTGACCACTTTACCTCAAATAACTGATACAAAGTGTTAATATTCATTATAAATGTTTGGCTGATGGCTCAAGCTTGTTACTATCTAACTCTTACATTTAAATAACTAATATTTATTATCTGAGCATTGTCATGTGTCTCACAACTGGTTACCTCAGTTCTATACCTCATAGACATACAAGCTATATGTCTTGACAGCTAGCTGGCTTCTCTTCTCTTATCCCCTCTTCATCCCTGTATCATTGGTTTGAGAGTCTCGCCTAACTTAATTCTTTCTTGCTATAGGCAATCAGGTTTTTTTTTATTTATCAATAAAAGTAACTCATATTAACAGTGTTCAGAAGGATTATTCCACAGCATTCAGTACTGTCCAAATTTCAAATTCTATTCTGAGACTCAGGGAAATTTCTTGAGCGTAATCTCCCATAAAGTCAAGATAAAAACATCACATTACTTCAAGCATGCATTGTCTGTATATATATTATCATTCCAAAAGGGAGGAGAAGCCAACATAGTGAGGAAATGCTGTACCAAAGCAAGACCAAAATCGAGTTGGGAAAACTCTAAATTCTGTGTCTCCATGTCTGGTGCCAAAAGTTTCTTTTGATTTTCAACTAAAGCTACTTTTAGCTTTAGTGATGGCAACATACTTCTCTTTTTTGGACTAGCTCCCTACCCAGTCTGCAATTTTCTTGCAAGGTAATTCACTACTTTGACTTCTCCAACATCATGAGGTATACAATGCAATCCAGTCTTCCCCTGAACAGCTTCATGCAATGGCCTCTCTGGGCCTCCATGCAGGTACACTTTTGCCACATGCCTGGCCTCAGTATCTTTCCTTTGGACAGAGTTCTACAACCACTTTCCTGAATCTTTGACACTAAGGCCTGAACCAGATGGCCAAGTCTGCCAAGTTCTACTAATTGGTTGGTATGCAACTTGGCTCTCTTGCTCAATTACAGTTTCATCAACTTCCTTTTGTTGATGGTTTCTTTCACAACTTAATTTTTTTAAACTTCTTTACAAAAGTGGAAAGCTTAGCTGGGTAAGATATTGCCCTCACATTACAACTCCCTTTATTCTATTGAACAACAGGCTTTTCTATAAAAAAAAAAAAATTATCTCCTTGAGCACTTAGCAGCATTATACTTCCTGGTGCTCTTTTCTCTCCTCAACTGTATATTTTGTAATTCTCTTTGTCCTAATAGGTTTCCATTATAGATCTGTATATGTGTGATTATTAAAAACCACATGACTCAATCCCTGGTGTAGGAGGTCCTTCTGTATTTGTGTTGCTTTCATTGGTTATTAAAGAAACTGCCTTGTCCTAGTTAATAGGGTGTAACTCAGGTAGGCAGGGAAGACAGAACAGAATTCTGGGAAAAGGGTCAGAGTGTCAGATGCCATAAATCTCTGGCCTGAGATGGACGTAGGCTAGAATTTTGCTGGTAAGTCACAGTCACATGGTGGTACACAGATTTAATAGAAATGGGTTAATCAAGATGAGAGAGTTAGAGAATAAGAGGATAGAGCTAATGGGCCAGGCAGTAATTTAATTAATACAATTTCTTTGTGGTTATTTCAGGGGTTAAGCTAGCCAGGCAGCGGGATGTGGTCTGTTCGCCTTACTACAAATCACTACTAGGCTGTCTTGAAATCTCCTCTGCCAAATCTGTTAGTACTAAACTCTTCAATTTCACTTCAGGCAGACTTTTTTTTTGACACTGCTTTAAAGCAGCTATATTCTTTGCAAATTATCAAAAAAGTGGCCTCTAGACCACTTACTGATATTTATCCCCTGTGAAGCTTCTTCAGCTGGTCCCTCCAAATTCAAATTGCCTTAGGCATTGTCTTTCATGCTTCTACTAGTATGGCCCATTATGTCCCACTTAAAGCATTCAACTGCTTTTCCAAAGTGTCAAAGTTCAGATTCTCCAAGAAATAAGATGGTCAGGCCTCTCACAGCAATATCTGCTCTTTGGTACCAACTTTCTGTCTTAGTTATTATTCTACTGCTGTGAAGAATTGCCATGACAATGACAACCCTTTTTTTTCTGTCTTTAACATTTTTAATTTTCAAATCTATCATTAAGACAAAAAGTAAACAAAAGTTAGATTTGTTGCAAATTTTATGATTTTTTTTCTGAGGGAAAAACGTTATAGTAAAAAGAACGCCACTGGGTGTACAATAAAGCACCACAACACACATTACAAATGGAGCTTCCTGTTGCTGCGACACAGGAGAGGGACCGTCCTCCCCACTGCTCTGTGTTAATCAGGACTTCATTAAAGGAAAACTATAAAATCCCCTAGGTTAACTAAGTCAGACACGGTCTGGACCACAGTGCTTGACAAGGACGATGCTGACTATCTGTGCTAACAGAAAACATTTCAGAAGGCCCAAAACAATCAACCTGGAAACCAAAACCTTATTTTACCTAGATAAGCAAAATTGAATACGAAAGCAGTCCCACCTCCCAGTAAGAGCAAAGGTTATTTTTGTTTGTTTGTTTTCTTCCTTTCTTTCCAGTTGGAGGCAGGGGGCATGGTCTGTGCTGGCTCTGGGGATCGCTGGCCTAGTTGGCATCCAGCTTGGCCATTTCCTGCACATAGATGCCTATACTCTCACTGTCAAAAAGCACAAAGTACACGATTTTGATGGAGGAGGACATAGTGCACAGAAGTGATTGGAGATGGCCGTCAGAATGAGCTGGGCCGCCGTCTGCTTCGGAAACCCATTCCTACCAGTACCAATGGATGGGAAGGCGATGGATTTCAGCTTTCTGTCATCAGATAAGGCCAAGCAGTTTTTCACCGTCTTTTCCAGAAGCTCTTCACGCTTGTCTGTACCCCAGACTGGACTATTACAGTGAATCACGAACTTGGCGGGCAGGCCACGGCCTGCACTAACAGCAGCTCCAGCTGTTTCCAAGGGTCCATTCTTTTTCCGAAGTTCAAGAACAGCTTCTAAAAACTCCTTGCAATCCTTTTTCTCCAGTATGTTTCCTAGATTATCTTTAAGGTCAATGTCAGCATTGGTAGGATTGATTATGGCCGCCTCCTCAAAGTCGGCTAAATTACTGATCTCACTGTGAATAAGGTTCAGCTTCTGGCCGAGGAAGAGGCTCTTGGTGGAGAAGACAGTAAAGCCATCCGCAGGCGTGCCCTCCGTTGTACTGTCTGCGCTGGCTGCCTTGCTGATTTCTCCCCGCTTCTTCTTAGACTTCCGGGCCCCCTTCTTGCCTCCTGTTTTCTTAGCCACTGGCTTCTTCTGGGATGGAGACTTGGCCTTTTTGGCCGGTGGAGGCGTGATGATGGCTTCCAACTCTCCCTTGGATCCTTGCTTCTTTGCTAGCAGCTCAGGATGGATATTAGGCCACACTCCCCCGCTGGCTATGGTGACTCCATTGAGCAGCTGCTTTAGCTCCTCATCATTGGCAACAGCTAACAGGATGTGCCGGGGAGTGACCCGTCCCTTCTTGTTGTCTTTTGCTGCATTGCCAGCCAGCTCCAGGATCTCAGCAGTCAGGTATTCCACGACGGCAGCCATGTACACAGGTGCCGATATTTAGGGTGGCCTTTCTTGATGTACCGCAGCATCCGTCCCACGGGGAAGATGACTCCTGCCTTGGCTGACCGGGAGGTCTTGGTAGATTTCTTCTTCCCACCACGACTCTACACGGTGGTGGCCCAGAAGCAGATCAGCCGGCCTGCCCAGGCCTCCTCGCTTCCTGCCCGCGGGTCCTGCGCTTGCGCCCTCTGCCTGGCTCCCCAATGACAACTCTTATAAAAGAAATAATTTAATTGGGGACTTGCTTAAATTTTCAGAGGCACATCCATTTTTATTACAAGAGGGATCATGGCAGCACACAGAGAGTCATGGTGTTAGAGAAGTACCTTAGAATTCTACATCCTGATCCTTAGACAGTAGGGAGAAAGACTGGGCCTGGCAAAGATTTCTGTCACACTTTCTTCAACCCTACCACATTTTCTAATCCTTTTAATCCTATCAGAGTGTTTCTTCTACTCCGTAGTGAGTATACATTTAAATATTTCAGTCTATGAGGACCGTTCTTGTTCAAGCCATCACACATTATATCACAAAGCTGGATAAAAATAATTCCTGATGAACTTGTATTAATAACAACACAATCATTCATGCTGATGTGGCTCATCCAAACAAAGAGATATTTTCATTTCCAAATTGGGTTCTTTGAAGGTCAGTGCACTTGTCCATGTAGAAAATAATAGACATACTTATTTATTCTCCAAAATATAACACTTCAGAGTATTTCAACTAAGTTATAAAAGCTGACGTTAAAATGACAAGCATAAAGCTGAATGCCATTTAAGTAGATGTTACAGAGACAGACTTCTACTTTTTCTATTTTTGCATTGAATGAAACTGATTCCTTCCACACTGCTTTTATTCTTACAAAGTAGTAACATGTTCAAAAAATTTTACCATCATGTTTTTCTCTCCACAAAACTAAAAGAGTATCATAAAATAAACCTATATACATAGGAGAATAATCTCAAGGAAATGTTCGAGGAAAATGTAGAAATAAAATAAAATATGAGTGTTATTGTCCAAACTGTTATTTTAACTGTTAATAAAAAATGACAAACCAAAGTATGTGAAATTCATAAATTGTTGTGAATCATCAAATCAAGCCCATCACACCCTCAAAAAGACAGAACCTCCTCCGAGAACTCCAAAACCATTGTTTCCTGGAAAACTAAGGCATCATTAATTAGAGTACAGAAACAGGATAAGAGGTAACAGATACAAATCAGCTGCTTTTGTTTCACAAAACTTATGAAATGAAAATAATCAGGCATTCTTGTTATTGGAGAGTAGTTCTGTTTTATGCCCACATTTCTTTTTCTCTAGGTATGTACATTTCAGAATATATTAAGTTCTTTGAAATAAAAGTTAACTTGGAACAAATAATAAATCCAAATCTTGAATATGAAGCCATAAATTTCTATGCTCAGAGGCAAGTGACAGACTTCATCTAAATACAGGTGAAGCAAAGGAGGAAGTTCAGTTAGATTGTATTCTCAGTTGTACCACCAAATGTAAACACTCAAATTATTCTGAGTTTGGAATGCTATTAAGATCTCAGTGGTTTTTTTTTAATTCCAGGTTTTTAGAAAGAAAAAAAATTATTAATATAAATTTAAAGATTCATTGTCTAATAAAATGCTGAATGTAAATGATCAATTTTATATAGCAACAATACTTAGAACATATTTTGTTTTAACTCTTAAATTTGGAAGATTCTCACAAAGAATTAATTTATTGTAATCATAGGAATTTGATTAAGAAATAAATTCATCGCTAAGAATTGTATGCTATATTTAGTGTTTTATTTTTTATTTGACAATTGGGAATATAAAGACAACTATTACTTTTTCTTGGGACAAAACCCTACTGCATATTAATGTCAGAGTTCTAATTCAGGTTTCTCTCTTTTTGTAGAAAATGTGTTTTTTGATTCTAAAATAATGTGAGTATATTTAGATAATTATATACATGGATACATATATATTTGTATGTATAAATAAATGTATATTGGTATATAGATACTCATATCGAACATATACTTTTAAATGTAGAGAAATTTGTTTCAGTGTTTCCAGAATTCAGGTATTAATAAATAAGAATAAATAAGATTATAACTACAGCATTAGGAACATAACAAGAATTAGCATTTAACTCTAAGGGTTTTTTCTCCAGCAATATTAGATAATCAATCTGAGTCAATTTTTGCCATTTCTAATATATTTTAATGGTGATTTGTATGCTTATTCCCAGCAATTCAACCAAGGCAACCTCTACTTGTGAGCATTAAACATTTGATCAATATAAGAGTTTCACTGTAGAAATGGTGTTAAAAGTTTATTCATTCAGTGCACTCTTTAGAGATGATTAACTGTCTTTATTATATTAAAGCAAACCCAAAGCCATCTGCCAAAGGCGATTGTGTCCAAGCACTGAAACCATTTCATGTGAAAACTCATTTTCAGGCTCCTAATTATTTTTCATTACAGTGGCAGTGTGGAATAGATTGGAATTGGACAGTAATTGCCAGGTCTGAGCAGTGTGGACCATTGCAATGTATCAGTTTAGATGAAGTGTGACAAGGATACATCTAGCTACTATATAACTTCCATTAGCCAACTTCCCTGTCCCTGATCATGTAACACTTCATAGAATGTGGTCAGCACAAGGTCATAATAATGGCTTTCTGAGTGACTTCAAGTATTTTGTACAAGTGCAAGCTGTTAACCCCCTATGTTAACACTGTTGTAGTAATATCTGGTATTGTAACTGTCAAAATATCTATTCTTCAGAAGGAAGAAGTAAACTTAAAAGTGTGGCTTCAAATTTAAATTTGGTTTCTTACACAGATGTCTGGAAGCAAAATTATGCCAGAAATTGAGATAATGATTTCTTATGGTATTATCTTAGGTGATAATTATTTATAACTATTCAAAAAGCCTTGTACAATAGTTATTAAAGTTGTATCCATGAAGGAAGGAAATCGTCTCAAATTATGTCTATCTGTACTAGCAAGTGATCATTTTGTGGCTACTGTACTGATAGAACTAAACGGCTAAAAAAAAAAGTCCTTGCATGAAGTTTTTTAAGCAGTGATAATTAATGTGAAATGTGATTAATAATCCATTAGATAACCTTCATCATATCCACAGCTTTTGAAAATCTGGATATACTTATGTATATCACAATAGAGCAGATGCTATTGATATTTACTGGGTAAACTTCAATGATGCAGTGAAACATCGCTTATTTCCCAGAATAGCTTTCAATGATAAATGGCCTGTTTTGCTGATCCAAAATATCAAGATGCCAAACATATTCTGTGTGGGTGCTGACTTTGTGATGTGAAGAGGTGCAATAATTTGCTTTCAAGCCAGTACTAGGTTTGTTCATGTAAAAAATTATGTGACTATTTCTCAAATATTTACAACTTTCTATTGTATATATTTTGAGTCCTACCATAGTTATGAATATAGGCTGTACCACACATATTCATTTACATGTTTGAGCTTTAAAATATTATTTTCTGTTTAAAATGATTGCCAGTTGGTCTTTGTTTGTAGTTTCTGATTTTGTTAATTTGTTCTCTCTTAACATGCTTTAATTTTTTCCAAATCATATGATATCAAGACAAAAGTTATTTTAGCTAACTTGAGAAACTACCAGGTCACATGATATTTTATTATTTAACAACTGCTAAATTTTGAGAAATGTCTAAGTAGATGTGTAAGTAAAACATTTCTTGAGAAAACTGAAGGTATGTCTTAGTTTATATAATTTCAATTAGATTTAGCTGAGTCTGAAAAAATTAACTATTTGAGTCACTAATTTGAAAGAACCACATTTGATGAACGGGATAATTCAAGCCACAGAGCCATAAATCCCCACTTTAATTTAGTAGTTCTAACTCTCAGCTCGACCTTGTCCTCTTTCTAGGTAGCCTATTATGAGTTTAATCATAGGTTATAAATATATGTCACAACTAGGGTGAACAACACATGGATCTATCTATGCATAGCAGAAAGTACATGACACCATGACCCAAGTAAAGTGCTACTGTTCAGAAACTGCATACTGTGGATATTGAACATCATTTGTACATGTTCAATTCAGCTTTGGTTCATAAAAAAGCCATACTATTCTCTATATGTAACCATTCATTAAACGATTAATATATCGTTTGAGATTTCACCATCTTTGCATACATATCGATAACAGTAGTTTCCAACCTTAATCAAGATAGCAGTAATACTGTTAAAAATGAAATAATGAATAAATAATGAGCAAAGAACGGGCAAAGATTTTAGGAGCATGGAGTTGGTTTCAACATATTAAGTAGCAAATGCTTTTGTACACATAGAGACATGCACTAAATAGATAAATAGGATACATGAGATCTTGATGCCTAAAGAAATGGGTCCCTGGGGAAACAAGCACCAAAATAATTTCTTAGTATGAAAAGGAAAATCCAAAGTGTAAAAGTGAATACTTTGTACACTAGTTTTTCTTTAGTATATACCTTAAAAGGTAGTAAATCTATAGGGGTGTAAATTTATTAATAAAACAGAGTTAAGTGAGATATATATATATATATCTATATATATATATACACACATCGTATGTATGTATGTGTTTAATCAAGATTATTCATTGCAAAATACAAATATATTTTTATAATGCCCAATTCTTTAAGCAATGTAGCATTGTCTTAATAACAAAAAATCAAAAAAGGATTAAAACTTAAAATATTTTAGAGTACTTAGAATATATTTTTATATTTATATATATGATCACTCTGCTGACTATTGTATGTGTAAGGGCCCACAGTGTTGTGAACCTGTTCTAACTTGCCTGGACGTCAGAGAGTTTGAGCTTATTGTTACTCTCTCAGAGTTGACCAGAGGTATGACTACAAATGAGAGATTCTGACATAGGGTGTACTTAATTAATATTTTGGGTATAGAGGTCGAACTGCTCCACCTAGAGCATTCAAGTCTATTCTTTAGATCATGTTAATGAAGTCTGTTACCTCTGCCCTGGCATTTTGGAGTGAAATATATAAGCATGAGGAAAATAAACAAGACAGATTCAGTATTGACTGAATGTC